CAGAAGATTAACAATAAAATTTCAGAATTAGACAACTCAATAGAAAGTCATAGGAGCAGAATTGAGGCAATGGAAGTTAGAATTAGTGAGATTGAAGATAAAACACTTGACACCAACTTACTTAAGGAAAAATCAGATAAAAGGATTTAAAAAAATGAAGAAACCCTAAGAATTATGTGGGACTCTATCAAGAGGAATAAGCTACAAGTGATTGGAGTACCAGAACAGGGTAGGATAACAGAAAATACAGAGAGAATTGTTGAAGATTTGTTGGCAGAAAACTTCCCTGGTATCACGAAAGATGACAAGATATCTATCCAAGACGCTCATTAAACCCCACATAAGGTAGATGCCAAAAGAAAGTCACCAAGACATATTATAATCAAACTTGCCAAAACCAAAAATAAAGAGAGAATTTTAAGAGCGGCTAGGGATAAATGAAAAGTCATCTACAAAGGAGAGTCAGTAAGAATAAGCTCGGACTACTCAGCAGAAATCATGCTGGCAGGAAGGCAATGAGATGACATATATAAAGCCTTGAAGGAAAAAAACTGCCAGCCAACAATTATATATCCAGCAAAATTGTCTCTCAAACCTGACAGTGAAATTAGGGCATTTCCGGATAAACAGAAGTTTAAGGAATTTGCAAAAACCAAACCAAAATTACAAGAAATACTAAAGGGTGTCCTCCGGTTAGAAAATCAGTAATATCAGATAACAACCCAAGACTAGAACACAGGACAGAGCAACCAGATATCAACCCAGATAGGGAAGTCACAAAAATAAATCAAAGCTAAAACACTAAAAATAGGGAAACATGTCAATATGTAAAAGATGACAACATTAAAATAAAAAAGAGAGACTTAAAAAATGTGGACATAGATTTTGCATATAGAGAGGAAGTCAAGGCGATATAAGGAAATAAAAGACTAGTATAAACTTAGAAAAATAGGGGTAAATATTAAGGCAACCACAAAGGAAACTAACAATCCTACAAATCAAAATAAATAACTAGAAAAATATAAAGACTCAGCAAACACAAAATCAACAACAATGAAAAAGATGAAAAGAAAATACATAAAGAAAAACGATTTAGCATGGAAAATTAAGTGGAACAAAGGAACTGTGAACAATATACAAAAGAAAACATCAAAACGACAGCACTAAACTCATACCTATCAATAATTACGCTGAATGTAAATGGACTAAACACACCAATAAAGAGAGAGTGGCAGACTGGATAAAAAAACACGATCCGTCTATATGCTGCCTACAAGAGACACACCTTAGACATTAAGACACAAACTAAAACTCAAAGGATGGAAAAAAATATATCAAGCAAACAACGCTCAAAAAAGAGGAGTGGCAATATTAATCTCTGACAAAATAGACTTTAAACTAAAATCCACCACAAAGGATAAGGAAGGACACTATATAATGATTAA